CATGTCTGGAATTCATAGTTTCTTTATCTCACAAATGGAGAAAGTCTGGAGAACCTATTTCATGGTTTTGTTGTTAGGCTCTGGTGAGATAATCTAATCTATAGTAAAGTAGTTTGCAAACCTTAAGGCATAATATAAGTGCCGGTTGCTATATACTATAATTATTTCATTTTCTTTTTTCATCTTATCCTATTATTTTTTATCTCATAGGGAGTGCCTGGGAAGGAACTTTCTTTATCAAGGAAGTTTATATAGTCTTAGACTATTGCCTGGGGGCACATTAGTGACTTTTCCAGCCCATATATGGCAGAGGCAAGACTTGAACCCAGGTTTTCCTGATACCAAGGCCTACTCTCTATCCACTGGGACAAACGGCTAACACCATTATTACTAATGACATTGGTTAAGCAATTGCATTAATATGGACTTGATTCCAGATAATAACGTTATTTCTACTTACATTCCCCTCTCTCCCTACCCAACTTTTTTCTTTTTTCAAGCAAAAGAATATGATAACCATTCAAAGGAATTAACTCCTTATTTTTGAAAATCTATTTCCCCCCAGTTACATGTAAAGACAATTTTAACATTCATTTAAAAAAATTTTGAGTTCCAAATTTTCTCTCTCTCTCACCTCTCCCCTCCCTGAGACAATAAGCAATTTGTTATAGGTTATATAAGTTCAATGATGCAAAACATATTACCATATTAATCATGTTGTGAAAGAAGACACAGACCCAAAGAGGGAAAAAAACCATGAAAGAAAGTGAAAAATAATGTGCTTTGATCTGCATTCAGACTCCATCAGTTCTTTCTCTGAAGGTGGATAACATTTTTCATCATGAGTCCTTTGGAATTGTCTTGGATCATTGTATTGCTGAGAAGAGCTAAGTCATTCACAGTTGATCATTGTACAGTATTGCTGTTACTGTGTACAATATTCTCCCGACTCTTGGTTCCTTATTTAAAAAATAAAACAAAAACAAAAACTCCACAAATGAAGAACTGACCTCCATTTATAGCTTGTTCTAGTAGAAACCCTTAAAGTAAAAGCAAGAAAAAAATTCCTTAAGTCTTACTGAATCTTTATTTAATATCATTTAAGTCCATTTTTTTATAGTCATTCAGTGCCCACTTTCTTAAACACCTGCTGTGTACAAAACCATCGTGCCTTTGCCCAGGCTGCCTCCCCTCCCTCATTATACCTGTAATTCATTCAATATAACTTTATGAAATGCTTACTATGTGCAAGGTATGTCCTTCTCACTTCTGCCTCTTAAAATCTTTACCTTTTTCCCCAAGGTTTAACTCCAGTGCCACTTCTTTTCATCATCCACCTGATTGTTTATGCTTTCTCACTCATCAGATCATTTTATATTTACTTCTTTATTTTAATGTTGTATCCTTAAAGGCAAGGACTGTTTTTTAATTTTGTCCTTATATCTCCAGGATGCCTTGAAACATAGTAGGAGCCCAATAAATGCTTCTTGATTTGAAGTGGTGGCTACTTGGGGAAGTTCAAAGATAATAACATTTATCCCTATATTCATAGTCCTTACAATCTAGTAGTCAGTTAAAAAACTTTTATTAAGCACCTACTATGTAGCAGGCGCTGTGCTAAGGAATACAAAGAGAGGTAGACGACAATCCCTGCTCTCAAGGAGCTAATAGTCTGTTTGGGGAGACAACATGAAAAACAACTATGTACAAATAAGCTATGAACAAGATAAATTGGAGATAATCAACAGTGGGAAGGCTTTAACACATAAAGAAATATATTATGTAAAATAACTATAATGGTAGTCTAGAGAGAGTTTGCCTAGTGTAATCGTTAGAGAGCTGGCCTTGGAGTCAGAAAGACCTGAGTTCAATTCCTGCTTCTGATAGCTGAATAATCATGGATAAGTCACTTACCCTCTCTGTAACTATAGATTACAGACAAGTTTTCATTGTGGAGGCTATTTCCACACTGGGAATTCCTTATGCTAATGAACTTGATGGTCAGCCTCTTCCCTGTTAGCAATTATGATAAAATTGTGATAAAAACATTGGAGAGGGCCAAAGTATGAAAAAGGTCTCGGGAGGGAGAAAAGATCCTTTTGACTTGGTATGATTCTACATTTAGTGGGGAGTAGTTTGGAAAAGTAGGAGAGTACCTGGTTATAGGTATCTTGAATAGCAGGGTAAGAAGTTTGGATTTCATATCCAAGTAATGAGATTTTAATCCATTCCTTAGCATTCCCTTTTTCATGGAAACATTTAACCTTTTATTCAAATTACTTTTTTCCCCTTAGAACATTTCTGTCCTCCTTAAAGTCCTTCCAAGTTTTCCTAAATAATAGGCTTCAACAAATTCAGAGATACAGGCTGGAATTTTTGTGGTTGTTGTTCAGTCATGTCTGATTCTTTGTGACCCCATGGACCAAAGCACACCAGGCCTCTCTATCTTCCACTGTCTCTTGAAGTCTGTCCAAGTTCATGTTCGTTGTTTCCATGACACCATCTATCCATCCTGTCCTCTGCTGTCCCCTTTTCTTTTTGCCTTCAATCTTTCCCAACATCAGAATCTTTTCCAGTGAGTCCCATCTTCTCATTACGTGGCCAAAGTATTTAAGCTACAATATTTGACCTTCCAGTGAACAGCCTGGATTAATTTCTTTAAATATTGACTGATTTGATCTCCTTGCTGTCCAAAGGACTCTCAAAAGTCTTCTCCAGTACCCCAATTTGAAAGCTTCTATTATGTAGAACTCAGCTTTACTCATAGACCAACTTTTACAGCCATACATGGCTACTGGAAAAGGCATAGCTTTGCCTCTATAGCCCTTTGTCAGTAAGGTGATGCCTCTACTTTTTAGTATTCTGTCCAGAGGGACACAAATCTTCAAAATGAGGCTAGTTAATGCCAAGAACAGTAGTAGACTTAGCATCTCAAAATATGAGTCATACTCTTGACAACTAATGAAAACATTAAGCTTGTTTTTAAAGTAACAGTAGAGAATTGCTTATTAGTATTCCTACTGTGATCTACTGTCTCTCTGGAGCCTTTTCTGTCCTTTTGAAAGTCACTTTGGATAAATTGGAAATTCTGGAAATGTTGGCACATCCTTTATCTTTTTTTGCAAAGATGAAATATGTTACCTACAATACTTGAAGGTCAAGAAATTGCTCAACTGCCTTGGGTTTTTATTTTCAAAGTAGCCAGAATGAGTATTGTCACATTCACTTACATATTAAAAAAAGCACGTCTTTCATATTCATGTGCCAAAAAGGTGTGTGAGTAGATGAATAGGAGGCCTTTTTATATGTATTTATGGGTAAAAGTGGTAGGTTTTGGGGCTTTTAACAAAAGTAATATTTATCAAATGAGAAAATATTTGTAAAGCAATTTGTAAAGTGCTTTAGGAATGTTAGTTATTATTGTTATTATCAAGTCAGAAATGATCCTGGTTTGTAAACTCACCATTGAAGCACTTTCATGATTAAAATTGTATATATATGATTTTTAGGTAAGTTTAAATATGTGTGCTAGTACTACAATAGAATTTTTTGGAGTTGTATGTACCTAGATATTTAGTATCTGATTGATTGGTGCCAAAGGAAATTTATAGAAAAAAACAAGTTAGAGAATGAATGTCTGACTACTTACACCATTAGCATATGATGATTTGATTCAATTCACTTCAATTCAAGAAATATTTGTTGAGAACCTGCTATATGTAAGGTGAAATATAGTATGGCATAGTAGACAATATAGCTTAAAGGCCTTGAAGTCAAGAAGAACTGGGTTCAAATTCTGCTGCTGACACATTCCACCTATGACCATGGGGATCTCAGCGTCTCAGTAACATTCTGACACTATAAGTTATAAATTGCTGATCGGTAGCAGGGGAAGGAATTTCTACATCAGGAGTGCCCCCACACAGATGAAATCATAGGACTGGAGCCAAAAGATTGTGGAAGTCGCTGTGGAGTATACAAAAAACCCCAACATGGTGTGGTCCCTGCTTGCTATCTAAGGGAATCACAGATCTAGAGCTGACGGGGAAACTGAGGCCAAAGGAAATCAAGTGGCTTGCCCAAGTTTCCATATGTAAATGGAAAAGTATCAGAGGTGAGATTGGAACCCAGATCCTCTGACTACAGAACTGGCACTCTTTTCGCTGTACCATTCTCATTGGGCTTATTTTCCAGCATCCAGCACAGTACTTGGCACAAAGCATGCACTTGTTAATTGGCTAAGACCCAAGTCCAAATCAGGCCTCAGACACTTACTAGCTGTGGTACCCTGGGTAAGTCACTTAACCTCTGCCTGCCTCAGTTTCCTCATCTCTAAATGGGGATGAAAATAATGCCTCCCAGGGTAGGGACAAATGAGATAATAGTTATAAAATGCTTTGCAAACTTTAAAGCACTATATAAATACTAACAATTATTGTTATTAGTAGCAGGGGAGATAGGACTAACGTGTATTGTATAATGTGAAAGTTCAGTAAAGTATAGAATGCTATGTTAGCATATTTGGGGAGGATGTGTATGATTGAATAGATGCGTATAATCTTGGGTGACTAGGATTAATTCGTTTAAATGGTTAGTCTACAGAATAGGAGTTTTTAACCTTTTTTGAGTTTTGGACCCCTTTGACAGTCTGGTGAAGTCTAGAGAGCCTTTTTTTAAGAATAATGTTTTTAAATTCATAAAAAGCACAGATTTATAAAGGAAGCTAATTACAATAGAATGCAGTTATCAAAATATTTTTAAAATTTATATTATAAAATTATAAATATAAAACATGTAAATATATAACCAGAAATATATTATAAAATTATGATATAATCATTTACTTATATATTATAAACATATATAGATTTAAAATTTATTTAACATTATTAAAATATATTTTTAAAAAAAGTTCATAGACCCCAGGTTAAAAATCTATGGTCTAGAAACCATTCTGCAGGTGGAGATCACGTTTATGTGTCCATTTGTCTTGATAACAGATATTGGTGAACTGAAGGCAACTCTTCGAGAGCTGACGTATAGCATCGCTCTTCAATCGGCAAAGTTGCTTCGTCACCTGAAGCAAAAAGATCGGCTTCAGCACAAAGTGCAGCAGAACTGTGACATCGTGACGGCGTGCTTACAAGCTGTGTCCCAGAAGAGAAGTAAGTACCACTGAATCCCTGTAGCATCTCCTGCTGACCACCCTTGGGGGAATTTGATGCCGCGACAGTTGGGGCCCAAGGCTTTCCATGGAAGCTTGTCACTTGAGAAATCAGACTTTTAAATATCAGTATTGTCATGTTCTATTTGTGATGCATATTAATCATGTTTCCATTCATAGCATTAAAAGTATTTAATCTATTTCATTGTATGAATTAAAATGACTAACAGAGGAGCAACATGGTGTAGTAGGTAGAGGGTTAAGCTTGGAGTCTGGAAGACCTGGATTTGAATCCCACCCCAGGCTCTTATTAGTTGAGTGACCACCGCTCCCAAGAAATCTCTTATACTCTCTCAGCCTCAGTTTCCTCATCAATGAAATGGGGCGGATAAACTTGTAGTACTTCCTTTACGGGGTTGTTGTGAGAATCGAGTGATATAATATTACGTAAAATGCATTGCAAACCTTACATTACTTAGAGATATAGAAAATGAGGTCCGGGGAGTCTAGATGCCTTGCCCAAGGTTACATAGGTATTACATATTTACATTATATTGCATACATACATAACGTTACATAATTACAAGTGTTTCATAGGTAATAAATGTAACCCCACAACCATCATTATCACTGTTATCCAGCTGCATCCCATTCTCCCAGGAAGAAGGAAGGTTTATTTTCAGTGTCTAAGTCTTGTTTCTCTTATTCTGGGTATTGACACAATGTTCTTTGATATTACCTCTTCCCTCACAATGCCAAACCTCGACTAGAATTTTCATTTTCCACTCAATTTTTTGCATCAGGTAGAAACAACCTTAATGTACAGTAGCAGAGTTCCCCCTCATTTCTTGGTTGCTATGCCAAATAGTTAAGCACTTGACTTTTTAAAAAGAGAGAGTTTGTTCTGAAATAATCGTTTTGAAGTTCTGACCAAATAAAATATTTGTAAAGTGCTTAGCACAAAGCTTTGCGCATAGGAGGCACTGTATCAAAGCTCATTACCTTCCTTCCCCATTATTCTGTTCCCTTCCCCCTAAAACTAAAAGGAGAATTATTTTTCTCTGTAAACTGAAGTTTCCTCTTAGATGTTCTTGTATGTAGGTTTTTGTTGTTGTTGTTGAAGGAGGGACCAGAGGCACTGTTTCATTGCTACAAGGAGCTCAAGATCAGGACATTCCTTTTACCTATGCAGCTGGGCATCTACTCTACACATTAGAAATGTCTAGAGGCACTGACAGGGTGAGAGATTTGGTTACAGTCATGCAGCTCGTATGGGTCAGAGTCAGGATTCGAACCTTGGTCTTCCTGACTCTGAGGTCAGCTTTCCACTATGTCATGCTGCCTCCCTGTGTGTATAGGTAAACAAGTTATAAATGAATTGTTGGATTATGCTAATGCTCTAGCTATTAGTGATGTGGTTAAAGTTAGCAATAAAAGCTTACTGTGTATGAATTCTATAATTCTCTTGGGAATAACTTCACGTATGTTCTATGACTAACATTTCCTTGCTTTTGTTTTGTATTTTGTATTAACATGCAGCATGGCCGAACATTATGTTCAGGTATGATTATACTAATTACATGTATGATCAGTATATTTTAATTAAAATGCTTGAGGCAGCTTTCAAGAGTTTATGAAAGTGAGCATTTTATTTCTTTCAAAAAAATTTGATCCATTTGACGTGGTATCTGCTCTTACTTTCCACTTAAGGATTTTTTTTCAATGAAAGTTAATTTTGGGGGGTTGGTGAGTTTCAGACAGTGAAAGCTGTTGGCTCAGATTCCATTTTTATGCTCAGTATTCCTCCAAGTTTGTTTTCTTTCTTATCCTGCCCCAGATTTTGATAACTCAGCACCATAGGACCTGCTGCTGGATAAGAGACCCATAGACTTAGAGTTGTAAGTGGTTATTTTGTCCAACTTCCTCATTTTACAGATGAGGGAAACTGAGGCCCAAAGAGGTTAAGTGAATTGTCTCATGACATGCAATGAATAAATGGCAGAGCTGGGATTTGAACCCCGGGTCCTCTGACTCTCACCCCAGTGCTCTTTCCACTGTACCCTCCTGTATCTCTCCATTGAAGAATAGTTGCTAAGGGCCACAAAGAGATAAGAATCTTTAGTAAGTGGGAACTTTAGTAATTTCAGAGTTAATATTTTACTCTTTTCTCCTTCGTATTGTCATCTCTTATTTCTTACTTATCTTATTATTCTTATTTATCTCAGTCTTTAGTTTAGTTTACCTACATCAAAGTTTCCAGTGGAAAGTAGAAGATACACAGAGCAATAGAAGAGAGAGGGAGGGAGACGTGCCAGGAAACGACGGAATTACTAACTAGAGAATATTGTTAGTGGTTATCAAGCATACTTAGGAGTTTACAGGGCATCCAGATTTATTGATAATGCAATTTCTATTTATTTGGCTGAAAAACACAGAAGTCCATACTCTATGTGGTCAAGTACCAAAGTTAATTTTTCAATTAATCTTCTTATTAAATTTTAATTTCTTGATATAATTTTATAGTAAAACTTGAGTTAACCAGAATGTCCTGGGAATAGGGTGTTCTGAATGATGTTCCTGCCTTCATAGTGAGACTATACTATGTATAATTAAATATCTCTTTGAAGACTTATAACTTGACATTGCCTTGGGGTTATAGTTCTTAACATGAATTCACATTGTGTAGTGCCCTCGATGTAGAAAATGCTGGAAATTTGGCAAAGTGCGTGACAATTGGAGGAGGCCACAATGAGGCCATTGCTGGGGAGGAAAGGCTTGTAGGACAGATCTTGGCTAAGGAGGAGCTCAACTGAAGTTTAACTATGGGTGTGGGTGGAGGGAGCATACAATTTGGTGCCTTCCAATTTTAAATAATTATTCTTATTAACTAATAATTCATTTATCATGGTGAAGGAGTGTAAATATTATCAGAAACCTCTAAATTTTGTGTCCCGGGACAAAGCTCCAGTTGCTAGTTCTCATATAGTTCTGTTCAGGTCTTATGGAAGATTTTTTTTTTCCTGTTCAAAACTAGAAGAAAAACAATACAACCTTTGGTTAATCTTTTTATTTTGTTAAAAGGTATATAAGGTAATATTTTTATAAGATATATAATTTATTTTTAATATTAATAACATAAGTATAGTTTATGTGCTAAAAATCAATATATTATCTTATTTCTACTATATTTGATATAACTGTTTACCTCTTATAGTTGGATCAAGCCTCTCAGTTCATTGTAGTAGGACCCTACTATATGAGTATACATTATAGTAGAACCTGCTATATAAATATACATTATAGTAGGACCCTACTATACAAGTATACATTATGGTAGGACCCTACTATACAAGTATACATTATAGTAGGACCCTACTATACAAATATACATTATAGTAGGACCCTACTATACAAGTATACATTATGGTAGGACCCTACTATACAAATATACATTATAGTAGGACCCTACTATACAAGTATACATTATAGTAGGACCTTACTATATAAGTATACATTATAGTAAGACCCTACTCTATGGTGGCAAGGGTGGTGTATATAGGGAGGGGGAAGATGGGGTGAGGGTATGGAAGTTAGAGAAGAGAATGGGGGGAGCAGTAAGAATAATTCCTATTGATTGATTCCTCCCTAGGCTAACTTTTTTTTAACTTGATAAATTTGTTTGACCAAAGCAGACAAATAGAAACAGACAAACCACAAGGTAGATTCCTTGAAAAATTATGCAAAACAGTGCCCAAAAATGATTCCATGGATGGTTCATGCAACTGTAGACTTTTGTACTGTTCATCATTTACTGATTGTTCAAAGAAGAGGCTGTGTGCCTTAAATTTATCACGATGGTATGGACACAAACCATTGTATTTAAATTGAGTTTTTTGTTGTTTAATGTTGTCCTTATGTACATAGATGTATTCAGTGTGTATCTTCTCTTGCTTCTGTTTTCTTCACTCTAAAAACCCTTCACACAGCTCTTCTTATTTCTTTGAATTTATCATACTTGTAGCTCCTTATAAGAATCATATTATTCAGTCATTTTCAGTCATGTCTGACTCTTTGTCCTCCATTTGGGTTTTTCTTGGCAAGGATACTGGAGTGCTTTGTCATTTCCTTCTCCAGCTCATTTCACAGATGAGAAAACTGAGGTAAACAGGGTTAAGTGAGTTGCCCAGGGTCACACAGCTGATAAGTATCTGATGCCAGATTTGAACTCATGAAGATGAGTATTCCTAACTCCAGGCCCTACTGTCTATTTACTGTGCCACTTACTTGCCTCTATAATAACCATAGGTAACATTTATATAGCATTTACTATGTGCTAGGCACTGTGCTAAGCATTTTACAATTATTATTTCATTTGAGCCTCACAATAACTTGGGAGGCAGGTATTATTATTATTATCCTCATTTTGCAGATGAAGAAACTGAGGCAAACAGGTTATGTGACTTGCCCAGGGTTTGAATAAATAAATCTCAGTCTATTAACTTATGGATTTAACTATGTTGTAACAGACTTCTTCTTTCTTTTAAAAATATATTTTGCTGATGACTTTTGTCCTTACATTGCATTAATTCACCCTTCCCAATCCCTCTGTAACAAAGAAAAATAATTAAGCAAAAACATTTAATACAGTGGCCACCTCTGACAATATCCTCTCTTAGTAATAGTCCCTTATGTCTGCTGTGAGTGGGGAATGTATACTTCATGATCTGTTCTCTTGGACGATGGGTTTTCATTTACTCAACTGGTTCAGTTTCCTTTTGGTGACCTTTTCTTTTTTCTTTTTTAAAAAATTAATTAATTTATTTTTAGTTTTCAACATTCACTTACACAATGGGTTTTCATTTACTCAACTGGTTCAGTTTCCTTTTGGTGATCTTTTCTTTTTTTTAAAAATTAATTAATTTATTTTTAGTTTTCAACACTCACTTCCACAAGATTTTAAGTTCTAAATTTTCTCTCTATCTCTCTCCTCCCCCACCCCAA